GATTCCTTAAGCTAATGTAATCGCGGCGCTAATCAAAGACGACGTCTTGCATGCAAATGGAATTCCACCTGGTGCAGACATCCCAGCAAGTCAACTTAATAAATACGCGCCGAACAAGAGCCTTGGGGTGGGATGAAAATCCAAACTATGCTTGCCTGTTCACCCCATAACATGCCTTCAGAAAACTGGGCTTTTCCAAACTCACATTACAGCATTCAATACAGAATGTTTAGTTCATTTCATCAACCGGTTTGGCGGTAAATTATTTTACACATGAACCAAGACAACTGAGATTCGGTCTTAACGATTCTTTCGGAGACTAATAGTGATCTTAACATCTGCCAAAGCGCATGCAAAATGCCGATAGGTCAGACCTGAAAATCTGCGAAGAAAAATCAATTCAAATTAAGGTGATTGCATGAAAAAGCAGTCAAAATGATGACTAGATTGACAGCCAAGTTTATCCGCAGATTACAAATTGCTGTAAATAGTAATGTAAAATAAAACAGGGTGCCCGAGAAGGCTGTGCTTTTCAACATGCAGATGGTCAAAAGGTGAAACAAGTGCTTTCTGATATAAGTCACCGAGCATCAACACCAACATCCGGTTAAGTATTTAGGAGAAAAATTACGTTCGTTGAAAAATTGCAAACTCAAAAGATTGTTGTCACCCGTTCTGGCGGTGTCGAGCGACTGACAAGGAAATGGTGGTCTATATAGAAGGACGGAATGCAATAACAGGATGCAGCATCTATGTTAACACTAGACTTTAAGCTTGGATTGATTGCTTTTGGGGCAAATTGGGATGGTTAAAGGATAAAATTGGAGAAAAACGGTATACTTCAAGCAGAAAAAAAGGCATACCGTAATAGCAGATTGGTTGTGCTCTGCAGGACACGGATTTCCATCAGCGCCCGATTCTTCCTCTTCTTTCGCACTACAACGGGGGTTGGTCTCTCATTATTCGTGTTGGAGTTAGTGGCGTTAGGCACGCCTGCGGGTCCGGCAGTCTCCGCAATTCGAACAAGACGGTCAGAATAACGATATGTGAATCCCTTGTCCTCGTCTACATAATAATACGACAAGATAAAAAGAAGCAATTAGCGCTAATGAAATTAATAAAAAAAACAACAACAGAAATAACACCAACTAGGCCAAGACAGTGTAATTAACAACAAATCAGGATGATTACCTCACACAGCACTACCAATAGGACGAAATATAAAATGGGGAATCGTGCATACACCACACGCGAACTTGCACACAATGTTGACCAATCGACATACGATAACATGTATCCAAGTAATCAATGCATTCATTTACACATAGAACGGAGCGCATTCATAACGACAAAATCAAACAACATAGCAGATGATTTGCTTAATTAAAAGTGAGCAAACCTGTTCGACGTTTGGGTGGATGGGCGTGCTTTCTTACAGACCGAGCGGACGCGACCGAACTGTTCAAATCTACAGGCCTGCAATTGACCCAAAACGTGAATAATTATATGCTACATGCAAATATCTATTAACCTATTATGGGAAATACTAACGACACCAAGAGCAAGATTCGTGTAAATAGTAAAATAGGTGGATGACGCAACATCTTACACAAAATATGAACCGAAAATGATATGTTGAGAAAATAGTCAGTACAGGAGTGTTATTAAATGACTAGTCAAATGCCGAGATTGATGTACACGGCCTGAAAATGTCTATTGAATAAGCGTTGGTTTAAATAAAGTGACCAAAAGGGCCAGTGCAGTATTGAAAGTCATAGGGTTGGAATTAAGCATGTGCCTAATGCAGGACAGGACACAACATTGTGATATGCTTTACATACTGCGAAGTTAAGTAAATAAAAAAACAAACCGCTGTTGTGGACCCCGGGTATTAGACACTGGTGTACTAGTGATGCCGGGTTTAAATTTCGGAGCAACACTTCCTTGCATAGCAGCAACACCAACGCAGGACCTTTAAATTTTAAAGCCCGCAGACCACCTGCTTCGCAAATATCACATCGACACACCTAAACGAGATAAAAGGCAATAATTATTATTCCTAAACGAATTGTGCTAAAATGACGCCTTTATATAAATAATTTGCATTACTTTTGAATTTATAGACTTTCGAAAAAAATTAAATAAACCTTCAAGACAAGAAGAAAAGGCTAGAGCCTACACAAGCATTTGTGCGGATACATTAGGTTTGGCCAAAATGAGACAAATTTTCCGCATTTTGAGTCTCAAAAAAGTATACTTTAAAACCCATGTATTTCTTACATTAAGCTGCGTTGTTGCTACGTTTCATAATCAATTTTTTATTGCTATTGTGTCTCCTATTCCTTAACATTTGTATGGGATTTACATTAATTTTACATGGAAGTACCTGGAGATCTCCTTAGAAGCACAATTCGTAAAATTTTCTTGCAGCTGTTTACAAATCGGTTTAAGCTCATACATGCAGAAAACAAGTGCTGAGGAACTCAAACTGAGAGGCTTGATTGTTTATTTTTGAGCAAAATGGTTTTTAGCCTCAGTTTTTCTTAAGAAAACCTGATATTATTATGCATTTACACCATGACAGGAAATTTACTGAGGAGTAAGTTTTAAACTAGTTGTCAGATCGTCTCTTGGTTGCTGAAGTAGTGTTTCTCTGTGTTTTGTTACAACATGCTACTGTGGATTTTGTGGCGCGTAGTCGCTTTGCTCGTTTGTTCAAAACGTTGTGCTAAATGGCTCGGCTAATTGTTTCTATCGTTGTTGGTGCAGCGTCGTAGGTGATTTACCTTGTTTCGTGTTCTTGTAGTCCCTCGTCAACTATTCGCACAGGTCACTATCCTGCCAGATGTGGGGTGCGGGGAGTGTCGAGCTGGATATTTTAACAAACATGAAGAGTGCAAGGAACCAAGCCAGAAGCTGAGGACAGCTTCACTTCTGAGGACGAGGCAGTGTGATGTGGCGACGTCTGAAGGCGCAGAAATATTTGACCACCTGGCCTCAGCCAATCCGCTGTCCCTCTGTGTTCCCATGGCATGCGAGGAAGACAGGCAGCCAACCAGAGAAAGACACGAATGAGGTGGAGTATATAAGGAGTGGCGTGGCCAGCGTGGTGGACTCGGATGGAAGGAGCCTAACGTGTGGTTCTGGCTTGTGATTGGTCAATAAAGCCTGTTCTGTTGTACCAGTCTTCTACCTATAAGGGCTCGAGTATTCTACAGCTGCATCACGTGAAAGTGGCGTGATTCCCGCTTGCATGAGCAGTGGGTTTTCGAATAGTGCCCCCAAGTCCGGGTATCCAATCACGTCTAGAAACAAAGCTGCAGAACATGGGCGACTTTACAACCAAACCCCTTGACCACAATAGGAGATCCCCGATACACTGCAGTCCCAGATTTTTGCTTGTGTCAGCAAGCCCCTTCAGCCTTCTCGTCGTGCTCAGGCATGCTACAGTATAACCGAGACACTACTACTGTACTAGTTGAGCTACGTGTTATCCGTAGTCTTCGTCTCATTACATTGACCAGGCATTTCGAGTACTTAGGTCGACGACCCCGATGCGGTTCAATGACCACACCAGTGGCTTCATCACTAACTCTCTTCTATGGTACTCGAGCCAACTTTGGCACGAGATTTCCGATAACCAATCAACACCAAATAACCACCTTTGTCAGCCTCACCACTTTTCTCATCTTAGTTGTCACGGCGACGACGAACAACTACAGACCTTTCCTCGAGAACTATTTGTTCTTCATTTCGGAGTCATTTCTATCGGCGCTAACAAAGGTAACTGCTGAAACTTTTATGAATTTTACTTTTAACGAAATTGCGAAAACAAAAAGAAAGCAACGCCAACAGAGAGAATCCAGTGAATATCGGTCCCCGCCCATTGTCGCCACCGTTTCCGCTCTTGTAACAAATCAGAGTCCAAGTTCACAAATCGATAAACTGAGCGTCGCCCTGCGCAGCAGTCCGATGGCGCAGGATGCGTCGATCAGGCAGTCCATCGCCAATATGACCGAACGCACTCATATTCGCTTCAACGGACAAAAGATTAAAATGCCCGTTGACTTCCTCCTCAACACAGGAACCTTTGGTTGACAATCCGAAACACGCCATGAGAATAAGTACGCCACGCACATTGTCCCGTGAGATTCTACAGATAAGTCTCCACACACAGTGCACGCATTCAACATGCACAACACAGTCCACCGAAAAACCAATCTCCTGCTGTAGGCATCCCGTCATGGCCACCAGTTGTTGCGGGCTCGGGCACGTGGTATAAAAGAACGCCGAGCCCGCCGACTTGAATTTGTCCATTTAAGCCACTCAGATTCCTGAGAAGATAAGCTGAAGACCAGAGACACGATCGTTTATAAGAGAACTCAATACGATCTGGGTGAACCTGTGCTAGTACAGAGTGGGACTGTCACATGAATGGAATAGAAGGGTAGCGTGGGAGTAGAGCACACACCAGGATCAGCGCGATTCACTGCACTCTGACGAAGACAACTATCTCACT